CAAATCCCAGCCCCCAAGTGCTTTAAAATAACGAGAAAAAAAAATCTGCAGTCAAATACTGGATAGTACAGCCTAATTGACAAGTTCTGGTGTATCATGGTATATTAAAGACCCCCTAGAGATCCTATAATAAGACTAGTTTAAATTCCCATATTTAATGGACAAAGGGACGCATGTTTGAACCCTCCACTCAACAAGAAGAATGGAGTTTTAGCAAAGAGACATGTTAGCCTGTAGTTCGCCTGCCTTTCTCTTTCCCAAAGTCTAGTCTTTTCATTCTGTCCTTAAGAGTATTTTTTTGCTTTTGTTTGTTTACTCTAAGAGTAGTGGCTGAAAGCTTATCTTGCTAATAGAAGTTTCTCATTCTTTCCTACAAAAGGCATTCACTGAAAATTACTAAAAGTTCTGGGCTATACGTTGTGGGATACACCTCTGAGGTGGGTTTCTGCCTTCCAAAGGGACTTAGACTACAGGAAAAGTAAGGCTTGCCAGTAGGTCACTCACTAGCAGGTACTCTTGCTGTCTGGCTGTTAAGTGCTGTTTCTGGGAACTGTTAGGGCAAGGTTCCTGGGAAAGTCACCTTTGGGTGGGCCTTCAAGTGTCATCTTCCTTTGGTGGAGGATCACTTCATTTAAATTTCCAAATGGAAATGACTTTTCCTTTTGATCATTATATAGTAACTTTATGTTTCCTAGGGCTGCCATGGCAAAGTGCCAGAAACTGGATAGTTTAAAACAACAGAGTTCGGATTTAATTTGAAAAGGTATACAAGCCATCTTATTCCAAGCAGGAATTTATGTAGAAAGTTCAGAAACATACTTTGGCAGACATTTGATTTCCCAGGAAAGATTGCTAAGTGGGATAACATCTAAAGAAAAAGACTTGTGCCATCTAGTGGCACCAAAAACAAATTCTAAGGTTTCAATAAAGATGATTTCTCTTTACCATAGACGGCATTCTACAGGGCTTTTAATAATGGTATTTTGCTACTTTTAGAGGTCAGTGTGAGAGTTCACTGAATCAGGATAAAATGACTATGTTTAGGGCTGGAGAGCTACATGGAGAAAGATAAAGTTGGACCTACTCTTTATTTTATACTTGCTTGGTAAATTTCAAATAGATCAGAGATTCAAGCCACTTAGCTTCAAAGCCATACGTCTTCCACTTTCCTTAACAGCCTCATTGTGTGGCCTTCTTGGTGGCCTAGGGCTTAAGTCTCAGTGCTACCATTGCCAACGCCCACCAGGACAGCATGAGTTCAATCCTCAACCAGGGAGCTGACCCACATGGTGCAGCAGGCCTCTCCTGTCTCACCTACTGTTTCCCTCAGCGGTGTGTTTCAATAGATCCTCCTGTTCTGCTCCCCACCCTGTCTTCTCACCCCCCGCACCTCTGATCTATACCCCAGTTCTTCCACACAACATAAATAAATAAAATCCTAAAAAAAAAAAGCTTCACTGTACTTCACTACATGCATGCACCACTCAAAAAGGATTCTCTGCCTCATTCATAAAAAGGTAAATGTGAAACTATTTACATAAACTGAGACACTTTCCCACTTATCAAATTAGCAAAAACTTAGGAGCTTGACAATCTACTCTGTGAGGAAATAGGAAATCCCATACATTGCTATTGTGAATACAAAATTACATAACTCCCTTTGGCTAAATAAGCACAATAACATGGTTTACCCACTAAGCTAGTAATCTCTTTTGTAGGAATCTATGCTAAAGCCCATTACCAAAGCATATCATGTACAAGAAACATTTTGTAATAGCAAAATCCTGGAAATAGTCCAACCAGCCATCAACAAAGATCCAATTGAGTAAACTTTGGTACATCCATATTATAACCAAAGAGAAGATTTTTGATCTGTTCATTTAAAACACAGTGTTTTGTATATTACTAATGGTATGCTATAGCATAAATTAAACAATTTTGAGTAACACATTTTAGATACATTCAACAATCTTATGTTAGCATTATCAGTATTGCTACATATGTTAAGTATATTGTTATCTATGTATGTGTGTATATATGTATGTGTCTAACAGGGTGGTCCCCAGGTAAAAGGGAGGTTCCAGTTTCCCTCCACCTAGGGAAGGGTGGAGCTGGGCAAAGGGGAGAAGTTGGAAAGGAGATTGGAGAAAGAAAAAGGATGGAGAGTAAGAAGACCTGACGGGGGCATGTGGAGCAGAGAGACACGTAAAGAAGCCATGTTTGTTTCTCAGCCTTGGACTTGTATCAGGAACTTGGGGGCCATGGACAAAGACATTTGAGCCAGACATGGGCGAGAGGCCTCTAGGTTAACAATGGCAGTACTTATCTTAATTTTGATTTCTCTCCTTTCCTTCCAGACTTGTCTGACACCTTCTGCTCCCCTTGGCCTATGGTCCCCAGCAGAAGGTGCCTTAGACTTGTGGCAGGCTTTTGGGCCACAGTGGCCCCACTTTAGGCCAATTCTGTTGGGTTGGACATTTACCTATGAGTGAGTGGGTAACTTTGGGTGTTTCACATAAAAACTTGCTTATCTGTTCTTTCCCTTCTCTTTTTTTATTGAGCACGAATTGTATTGAAGTTCCTTTCCATTAAAGGTCTTATGCACTAGAGTATGTTCTGTCTTGAGGAGGTGAGTGGCAGAACCTATTTAGAGCAGGCAGGTTTGCGGATTCTGGGATGCCCCTCACCCTGCTGGGTAACATGTGTATGTAAAAAACAAATAAGTAATTGTGTTGATTATTAAAAACCAGTATTTTTCACTAAAGGGTTCAGCTTTATAAAAATTAGGACATAGAAAGGGTGCTTAACATTCAAGATTGGCTGTGGGTCTTTAAGAAAATACAATATTTAACATTCCAAATTCGAAACAATGTTAAGTTTGGAGGAGGAGGGCAGCTAAAGACAACATAATTAATTTTTAATTTATGTCCAAAGTGAGAAAAGGAAAGACTAGTTCACGTTTAATCTCTGATGAACCCTTTCCAATTAAAATTGATGGCTTACTCATGCAGTGCCTTCGTTTCCTGAATGCTGATCCCATTTCATCTTTCCATTCAGCATTCCATCTTCAATTTTTTTAACCAAGTTAATTTCTACTAATCCTTAAGTTCAGTTAAAAACTGTAGTACCCATCCTCCAATGAAAAATCTTTTATTACGTGGTATCATAAATTCTTATTCCTTCCCACAGGGCAGCCCTCTTGATTATTATTCCTTCGTTAATGTAATTTGTTGACTAATTTTATTTCCCTTTCCAAACTTTGTTTTGCTCATCATCCTTTATACCACAGTGCCTTATTACATAGTACGTGTTTAATAAGTGACTATTAAAGCAAAATGTCTAACTTCCAGGTTGTTACCACCTCTAATGTGATTTTTTTTTTTAATTGAAAAGGGTAGAACACCTAAAGACTTAACTCCAAAAGGAGCCACATGATGCTAAGGAAATGTTCCATACATAAATTCTGACACTCCTGGCAGCGGTAAACAATTTTATACAACAGTGGCTAAGGCTGACATCTTTACGTTGCTTTTATCAAATTTCACGTGGTGAGATAGGGTGGCAGTAAACGTTCACCACATTATTTCAACTGAGTCCAAGTCTCCTACCTAAACGAACTTCATCCTACACGCAATCATGGCGGGATGGCCAATATCTGAGAATGGAAAAGCAGCCTGCGGACCGGAGCGGGACACGTGCAGGGCTGCTTGTCCACAAAATACCACAGAATCAGCAACCAGTGGGCTGGGAATCGGGTTCCTCTGGGTTTCCTAAATCTAAATTCCACTAAAGGAAGCTTCTGCAGCTGATGCCCACAGCAGACTTAATTTTCTTACAGAATTCTACTCTCACGCGACAGGTATTCTTTGCTGAACTTAATTACCTATGTGGTACGACTTGCAAAGACCAGTTTCTGAGGCCGAAGTTCTCAGCAAAGGCCCTAGGCTAGGATAATCAAAATTGGCGTTTGTGAATTCTGGCTTAAACTGTCTTACCTCGGGTTCCGTAGAACCGGTATCTCCATAAAAGGGTCTTCAGCCACCTTCCGAGAAAAACTGAGAAGGAGGTGTCCATGACGTTTCCCGAGTATATTGTCTTAGGCGCAATTCAGGTTTTGAAAACATGCTTCCAAGAGTATTTCGACTTAAAACATACAGCTTTCAGGCATTCGGTGGCGCTCATCTGTCTTTTCAGGTTTCTAAACTTTGCCCGCCACACCTCTTTGCCCGCAACTCACTAGACAGGCAGCTCCTGGCCACCCTCTGAGGTCCTGATTTTGAAAAGAGGAACCGGCCAATCAGAGTGCGGAGCGCTGTTTGGCGCTGCCATTTGAGCCAGGTCCGGAACTGAAGGTGGCACTGTGAGCCCCGGCTGTCTGCAGAGGCGTTGGGGGCGGAGGCATGAGGAGAGCGGCCTGACTTCAGGGAGCACACTAGGATGTGCAAGCCGGGGGCCGCGGGCAGGTTGATGGGGAAGGGAAGGAGCAGCCTGTGAAACGGGGTGACGGCGCCAGCCAGCCCGGGCGGGGACCGGGGCTGGAAGAAGCGCCTGAGCAGCCGGCTGGTCCGGCGGCTGGGCTGGGGTTGGGGGCTGTGGGGCCGAGACGGGAGCACCCAACTAAGCCTGCTGGTGTAGGAGGGGCTCGGGCAAGAGTCATTACAGTTGGAACCGGACGAGGGCAAAGTGAAGTCTGAAGGAAAAGGGATCTTTGGGGAGCGGCCGGAAGTGGTGAGAAGCTCGTGGAGGGCGTTAGTATCGGGAACCGAAAGGATCTGAGAGAAAAAAGGGAGGTCTGTGTAAGTTGTGGAAAGGGTCGGTGACAAGGAAAGAAGGTCGGGGTAAGTGAAAGGAAGGTGAGGTGTGGCTAGATCAAAGGATTAAGACGAGACAAGCAGTGAAGTGAATAGAGGGGTCTAGGAAAAACCGTAGAAGTGGCTGGGGTTCTGGGTCAGAAGAGTGTCAGATGTGACCCAAAGTCGGCGGAGTTGGGTGCAAACCTAAGAGAGTTTAGAAATTGGAAGACTTTGTGGTGAGCGAGACTTAGGACCCAGCTTGTACCTCGGTGACTAGGCGACATGTCTGGGATGTGGGATCAGAGGCTGGTGAGGTTGGCCTTGTTGCAGCAGCTTCGGGCTGTCTATGGTATTAAGGTAAAGGGTGGCCGTGGTCAGTGCGATCGCAGGAGACGTGAAACAGCGGCCACGGAAATCGTGGTAAGTTCTGGCAAAGGAGAACTGGTTTTTTGTTTTGTTTTAAAAAGGCTTTGTACTATTTCTTATTACCATGTTGTGTTCATTCGTGTTTGACTCCAAATGCGGTTATTGACTGTATTTGCCAGCCAGACAATCAACTGCTGAAATTTAAAGAATGATACTCTTGATTCTTTGCAGGGATCTTAGATCATACAAAGAAGGTTACAAGTTGCTCTCTCATATTTTTTTTTTTTAATTTAAACGTCAGCACTGTTGACATTTTGAACTGAATTATTCTTTGTTGGATTTGGGACTTGGTGTAGTTGGCTTGTGCATTGCAGGATATTTAAGAATCATCTGTGTTTTTTGTCCACTAGATGCGAAGGCATCTTGCAGTTGTGACAGTTAAAAATATTTCCAAATGTTACCAATGTATTGGATTTTGAACAAGCTATCATTAGTACTGTTCTACCACTGTTTTAAGAATACGACTTGTAGTGGGACAAGGGGTTCATGAGGTGCTACAGAAACCATTAAAGGGTCTAAACTGAGAGACTAAAGTAGAATGATTAACAAAGCTGTTAAGTGATGCTTGCATGGACTCAGGTAGGGGATTTTAAATGAAATTCTATTATCTGTTGCAAAATGAAGAATTTTATAGCGAAAAAATGAAGAATTGAATAGAAAATAGTTTAAATGTATGTGCCTCTAAGTTAGAATGAAAACTACTAACCTCTGAAAGAAAAGCTCTTGAGGGAGAAAAACAATTTGTATAACATTTGATAGCTTATAAATTCTGGGGAATTTGTTTTTATTGTTTGAAACATGTTTATTTTCCTATTAAGAGACTGAAACCTGCCTTTAGATTCAGCCTACTAAGTGTATGATTCGGGTTACTTTTTTAATTTTCCTAAGCATGAATGTCCTACTCCATAAAATGGGGATAATGGTATCTCTCATTTAGTTGCTTAGGGAATTTTTAAAAAAGCAGTAAAACCTGTTGATAAGACTAGCACAATGCCTATTACATGCCACTTACTCAACACATGATAACCAATAATCTACTTCCTAATTTATAGTCAAGCCAGACATCCTAATAAAAGCAGTCTAATAAAGAAATACAGAAGATCATAGAAAAATGAGATTTAAAGGATCAGTAATTTGTTCAAAACTTGATTTCTTTAGTTCTTTGCTATTTGCTATCTAAAAGTTTTTGGAGCTTTTTAATAGGACTGGCAATCTTTCAGAAATTATACTTTAAATGCTATTCCAATGTACAGAAATTATTTAAAGGATGTAATTTGTTTTCTCTAATGAAACTAATGATAGTAGTTATTTGTGAAGCCAGTAATGAGACTTAAGGAACAGAAAACAACCCTGAATAAATTAGGCTTGACATCTGTAGACTTATAATCAGCTTTAGTGACTTCTTTTTTTACTTTGGTTGCACAGTAACGAGAAAATTCTGATTTACCCAAGTAAGGGGTTATGTGTATTGACATTTTCTTAAAAAATGGCTCACTTGAAACAGTCATTGCAACAGCAGTAAATGAGTTCTTGAATAATCTGTCAGACATTGATACACATCTTTTATATCTTATAATTCTTTGATTCTCTCTATAGCCCTATGACTTAGGTAGGAACCGTGTGAGGATAATGGGGGGTAGGGAATATTAGTGATACAGTGCTACTCACCTAGTAAGTGGAAGAGCCTGAATTTAAAACCAGACAGTATTGCCTCATTCATTATGTGTCACAAAGTATAGTCACATGCTTAAAAGGGGACTGCTAAAATGTTTTTGCTATGTTGAATCATTAACAATGCTAAATGGTTGCTTATTGTAAATAGATGGTCAATAAGATGTTTTAAAAACAAGTGTTTAGGCCCTCACTGCTGGTCCAACGGGTTAGGGTTAGCAAGCTGGCCACAGCCACTTCAGTGTTAGTTCAATCCTAGACCCCAGAGGTGATCCACATGGGGAGGCAGACCTCTCCTTACCTATCCGCTACTCCCCACGATGCTCCCCTCCGCAGTGTACTTGTTGATCTGCCTGTTCTGCTCCCCCACTCTGTCTCTAGTGAATCCTCTCACCCACCACACCTCTGTCCTGTACCCCAGTTCTGTAAGCATAAATACATCTTTAAAAAAGAAGTTTAAGGGCATTCATGGAGATAGCTGCACATAAGCTAAATTGACACGTACATGTGTGATGAGGTGTCCTCACTTAATTTTGTGTAGGTAGGCATATAGGCATGAATTTTTAGGTCCAGTGCAAAAGTACAACCTTCTTAACTAGTGGCACATCTTTAAGAAGCTTGAATGTATGCACAGTGATGGTGCACCTTTTTTCAGAGGTGTGTACAAATACTCAAGTCAGCCAGTGCCCATGTTTACTTTGGGGATCTTAAGTGCTAACATTTGAATGTAATACATCTGAATATTACTTTTGAAAAATTATTTTCAAAGTAATTACATGAAATTTGAATTAAAGGTAGAATGCCTGCCTTGGACAGGGCACAATCTCAGGACATAGTTGAATGCACTCTTTTGTAGAGTGTGAAAGACAATCAGGTCTAAGAAAACTGTTCCTGATAGTATTTTTAAGAAGTACCAAATGAGTGACAGAAATTGCTCTTATATATCAACTTAGCCTTTTGTTCAAATTAGTGTTAGGGTGATGAAACTGAAGGACCTGTTGTATTTTGTGGAAGTAGTAGTGTTTTTAGGTCAAATTTGTTTAAGAATTTGACCAGTTTACTTTCCATTGTTGAACTTAACAGTGTTTCTTGTGGGTCTTACCCATCTTTGCATGTCTGGCATGTCTAGCACAAAAGCCTGTTATATTATGTAGTTGACTCTTAGTGACACCAGCCCTGGAGGGCAGTTGAAAATCCTCCTACAACTTTTGACATTCTCACAACTTAACTATTGATAGCTGGTGGTTGACTTTATCAATAACAAAAACAATTAATACATATTTTATATGACATATACTATATATTGCATTAATAAATAAGCTGGAGTAAAGAAAATATAATTAAGAAAAACATAAGGAAGAATTAATACGTTTGTAGTACTGCCCTGTATCAGTGCTATTTACATGAAAATCTTTATATAAGTGGAACCAGGCAGATCAAAAGTCAACTAATTAATTGTTACTAAATACACTCAAAATAATTGTTTTATATTGATAGACAGTTTATTTCTGCTCTTTTTTAAAATTTTCTAGGGCTTTTAATTTGTCTAATATTTAAGAAAATATACTTTACTATTTGTGTTACAGTAACTGAATGTGTCATTTTAGGGTAAAATATTTGGAGTGCCTTTTAATGCATTACCCCATTCTGTTGTACCTGAATATGGACAAATTCCAAGGTAAGCAAGGTTTGAAATGAAGACTAAATATTTTAAACTGCTTGGGTGTTTAAAAATGGTTGTATTGCATTAGTAATTACTACATTTCTCAACATTAATGTAAAGTTATTTTAATTTTTAACTTGTACATATTTTATGATTTTTATTCGTTCCCAGAACTGAATAATTTTAGATAATAAATTATTTTTTGTTTTATTAAATCAGTTATCAGTTCTGTACTAATTCTTATGCTCCAGTTTAGCCTGTATTCAATAATGTCCTGAATTATCAGTGCAGCTATCATTTTAATAGTTTTTAACTTGTTTCAGGAATAATTAGGCAAAAGAGTATTTAAGCTACTGCAGTATTTATAAATATAAATTGTGTAACAGCTGAGCTTTTCTAAGCCCCTATTATTTGTAAATAAGCTTCTGGTCAAACTGCATCAGAAAATTAACATTGAAAGAAAATATCTCAAAAATGCATGTGAAGAGATTTTGCTCTTCCTCATTCATTTCCCCTCTATTCAAAGTAGATTTCATTCTGATTACTCTATTCTAGTAACCTAGGTTTTTAATTGATAGCTTGTTCCCAAAGCATCTATTGAGCACTTGACTGCCTTAGAACAGTTTTCCTTCATCAGCCTATAGGTATAGATTCTATTTTGCCACTTCTGTGACCTATAAAATGTTTACTTATAATGATTGCCATCATTTAGAAGTGCAGTTATATCCTCAGTAATGATTAAATCTACACTGTAATTTCTTGGCTCCTTTTTTAAAAAACTATTCTGTCAGTTATATCCTCGGTGACTTTCAACCCCTGCACTAGAGCAACTCTATCAGCTGCTTACAGCTGACATTCATTTTAATTTGTTGATGCCATCAATACCAACTAAGCATCTACAGCCACCATTTTGTGTTTAAAATGAAGAAATTGAACACATCTTTAAATAGGAGAAGAATATAAGAACTGAAATATGTCCAACTTTTATGAAGGTTAATGATAGGATGAGAAAAACCTTGCTTTATTTTGAGGTAATTGTAGTAGATGGTAAATATCTTAAGCCATGTATGCTATACGTATTACACATAGAGAACAGATTTATAAAAAAGACCCCATCGTAACCTAGCATACAGATGTCTGCCTGAAAGAGAGGCCAGAAAGAGTTTGAAAAGACAGAATCGGAGAACTAGCAGAAAAACAGACTAAAGATCAGGGAAAAAGTATTTTTAAGATACGCAGGGAATTGTCAAGTATCAGATACTTATAGGACTAGCAGACGGGGATAATGGACTGACCACAAATTTGGGAAGGCAGAGGCCATTGGTGACTATGATGAAAGCTGTTGGTATAATGGGAATGAGAGTCTTTGGAGAGGGTTGAGCAGAGACTGAGATGATAAAGTGGAGGTAGTAAAAGCAATTTTTTTTGCTCTAAGTAGAAACAGAAATGGAGTGGGAATGAGGAAAATGTAGAATTTGAACATGCTTGGGAAGCAAAGACAACTAAAAATAACCTATCACAGTGAATTGGGTATTTGTGACATCAGGACTTCTGAAAGGAGCATTGTGCTTATGTACTTTGATAGGAGAATAAGATACCTGGTCACCTAAGTAGATTTCTCTTTTAGCTTTCTTGTTGATGCTTGCACATCTTTAGAAGAGCATATTCATACAGAAGGACTCTTTAGGAAATCAGGATCTGTTATTCGTCTAAAAGCACTGAAGGTAAGTGTATTCTTGAACCATACTCTTCGTTAGTACCACTTTGTGATTTGTTTTTTATGATTGAAATGTTTAGAACTGTTCCATGAATCAGTGACAATTGAATTGTAAATAGCTTTTTTGGTGTTAGTGAGGTATAATTGACATATTTAGGTTAGACAACTAGTTTTTTGCTGTATAGTATGAAATAATCACAATCAAGCTATTTGTATAATATTTTAAGTTTATTGAGTACTTACAAATTTATTATCCTTGTACATGAAAATAAAAATATTTACCCTTCTAGGAAGGAGTGGTATATTTTAAAACAAGAGTTCAGGGAATTTATTAAAAAATTCCTTAGAGTGCAAATAAAGTATGAACTTTGCAATGATTTTTTTTAATTTCCTAAATTTTTTTACATTGTTCATTTTTTGTACAGTATCTGATTTCTCCCTTCAGGAGTTGTTTCCCTTGTTTTCCCATCATCTTGACACCAGTGAACCACCATCATAGTCCCTTTAGCTCTTCCTGACTCAGTTTTAACCCCTCACCCTTCCCCTATAAGTGAAACCATCCAATACTTCTCTTTTTCCTTCTAACTTATTTTGCTTAGCGTAATCCCTTCCAGCTCTATCCATGTTGCCATGAATGGCATGAGTTTGTTTTTCATTACTAATATTCCATTGGGTGAATATACCACAATCCTTTGATCCATTTGTTCATATCTTAGCTATTGTAAGTAGTGCTGCAGTAAATTTAGGAGTACAGGTTTCCTTTTGATTAATATTTTGGTTTTGTTTGGGTAGTTTCCTAGTAATGGAATTGCTGGATCATGTGGTAGATCCATTTTTAGTATTTTGAGGATCCTCCACACAACTTTCCATACTGACTGGACTAGTTTGCGTTCCCACCAGCAGAATGAGATGGTTCCTTTTTCTCCACATCCTTGCCAGCATTTATTGTTTCCAGATTTTTTCTTTGTAGTATGGGCCATTCTCACAATGAGATACTTCTCATCATGGTTTTAATTTTGGGGGGGGGGGGGGGCAGAGGAGGAATACCTTTTTATACCCAGAAAATGCTCAAGATGCTTATATTTCTTTCAGAATAAATTGGATCATGGTGAGAGTTGCCTGTCTTCTGCACCTCCTTGTGATATTGCAGGACTTCTTAAACAATTTTTTAGGGAATTGCCAGAGCCTGTTCTCCCAGCTGATTTACATGAAGCACTTTTCAAAGCACAGCAGTTAGGAACAGAAGAGAAGAAGAAAGCTACATTACTGATCTCCTGTCTTATGGCTGACCACACAATTGAGATATTAAGATATTTCTTTAACTTTCTCAGGAATGTTTCTCTTAGGTAAGTAGTAATTAAGTCTTGGGAAGTGGTAGCTTGCTTTTTGACTAGGTAGAGTTACGCTTTTATGTAGTAAAATTTCACTTAGAATAGAAATTTTTCTAAGTAATGTTTATATATTTCCTGTGAGACGAACACCCTGTATATTTTAGGAGACAGTGCCAAGTCATTTAATATTTTTTTGACGTTTTAGAGTCATCATTGTGAATTCCTTAATGGGCTATTAGTATCTAATTCACTGAATAGCTTTGTATTCCTGTGTTTTAAAGTAGTTTGTTTTCCTTTTTAAATGTATCCCCTTCTCTGCTTGCTTGTTGTAGATATACTTGCTGTCCTCTAATACTTTGAAGATGTATGTGTTTGAAAATTAGATAAACATATTCCATGAGATATGGAAAACCAAAGTGTGAACTGTATAATTAGCATAATTTTATGATACATATTTAAGCACAGAGGTAGTGTGTTTCTAGTTTGCTTTACTATATTTAAATCAATCATGTAAATGGATGAATGGTCACTGTATTTGACTTGGGTGTTATTGATAAACAAGCAATCTTTAAAATGTGCTCAACTTGTTATTTTAATTATGACTTTATCTTTGATTCCATCAAAAAAAACCCTTTTTTTCTATTTAAGATCCAGTGAGAATAAGATGGATAGCAGCAATCTTGCGGTTATATTTGCACCAAACCTATTTCAGACAAGTGAAGTACATGAAAAGATGTCTGCTAACACAGAAAAAAAACTACGATTACAGGCTGCAGTAGTACAGATTTTTATTGATTGTGCATCAGATATTGGTAAGATGTAGTTGCATTAAGTTAACAGGATTGTTAAAATGAACTTTCAAGTGAACTCGAAAATAACTGTTAGAAAGTTAGAGTATACTGTGACTATTTTGAGGGGCAGTAGAGGACAGATCTTGATTGTCAACATTTTATTTAGGCCATGTTCCAGATTTTATCCTGGAAAGGATACCAGCTATGTTGGGTATTGATGGTCTCTGTGCTACTCCATCATTAGAAGGCCTTGAAGAAGGTGAATATGAAACTCCTGGTGACTGTAAGAGAAAGCAGAGACAGAGTGTAGGAGGTAAGCGACATTCTTGTTTTAGGGAGAAAGACAGCCAAGCCATTTCCTTTTGTCGAAAGTACATTTGAAGTTTGAGAAGCATAAGTTATGAGGGCTGCCTTTTGGTACTTAACAGCATAGTTGGGAAGATAGAACATTCTAATGTGAAAGGTAAAAATGATGATTCATTGTAATATTTAAATACTGTCTTTAAGAGAAACATAAAATAGGTTCATAGGAAAAATGTTTCCTGGGTGTAATGATCAGGGAGTCTTCAAAGAAGAGGTCACCTGAAACTTTTTGAAAAATGGGTGGAATCCAGAGGAACTGGATGGATGGTCAGAATACTTGTATCCTATTCTAGATGAGAGAGATGCCATGAAGAAATATTTGTGTGGGGCAAAGTACACTATGTCTCTAAATAGACCAGTATGACTTGAATCAAGGACTTATTATAAAGGGTTAGAATAATACAGTGAGCTCAGTGTCGCACTAAAGAATTAAAGGTAAGCTGAATCATTGAAGGCGATTTATATGATTAAAACATTTTAGAAATTGGCCCTCTGCCAAAATTGGTGGCGCAGCGGGTTAAAGCACTGCACTGAGAAGCTGAAGCCACTTCCGCATGAGTTTGATTCCCACCTGCCCTGGAGCAGATCTCTCCTGACCTGCCTGTTCTGCTCCCCACTGTGTCTCTGGTGAAGCCTCTTGCCACCCCTGAGCCTCTGGCCTGTGCCCCAGTTCTGTATGCACAAATAAATAAATCTTTAAAAAAACAAACAAACAAAAACATTTTAGAAAATTATCTGGCTTATACTGGGAGGTACTGGGAGGCCAGTCAGATGTATGGTAATAATCCAAATATGAGATCATGATATAAAATAGTGAAATGAACTAGTTAGGAGTATCAATCAAATAATGCAGCAAATAGCCAAGGAAGAATCAAAAGCATCCAAAAGTCCATTATAGTAGAATGCGTCATAAGACTTATTGCCTTTATGCATAAGATTTACACCATTCCTCTTCCATCTGCCTTAGAAAATTTCTTATCTTTTTGAATATCAGAGCCAACTGTACTTACTGTCTTTTTCCTTTTTAAATCTTTGGCTTTCTTGATTTTTTTTTTTTGGTAGATTCCCCTTAAGCCTTTTTTTTTTTTTAATGTATACAAAAGCTGAGATGTAGAGGTGTGAGAGAGAGAGAGGGTTCATCAGAGACAGAGTGGGGAGCAGAACAGATGGATCTACTGAAATAGACTGCTGAAAGGAGCAGTGGGAGAGACAGGAAAGGTGAGCTGTGACATGTGGGTCAGCCCCCTGGCCAGGGATCAAACTCTTGCAGCAATGGCTGCTGAGAGCTCCATAGTGCTGACGCTTACCCCTTGCTCCATCAGGCCTTAGGCCTTCTGTTTCATTTTCTAGGTGTACTGTAGCAAAGTACTACAAATGGGATAGCGGATAACAACAGAAGTTTATTATCTTACAGTTCTGGTTAGAAGCTTGAACCAAGTGTGCGTGGGCCATGCTTCCTCTACAACCTGTGGAGGAGACTTTTTTCTTTTTCTTTCTTTTTTTTTTTTTTTTTTTTTTTTTTGCATCTTCTAGCTTCTAGTAGCTGTCAGTTATCTTTTTGCTTGCTGGATCATTCTAGTCACTGCATCTGTCATCATATGGCATCTTCCTGGATGTCTTTCTCTGCCCACATCTCCCTATTACAGTGACACCAATCGCATAAGATTAGGACTTACACCTAATGACCTCATCTTAATTTGAGTACATCAGCAAAATCCTTAATTCTAAATGGCACACAAACCTATAAACTTGTTAACACTTACAGATCTTTCTCAGATCATGTTTATTATCTTTTTCCCCATAACTGATTTCAATCAGTTATGTGATAAACACTGGATCTCTGTTATCTCCTATTCAACATTCCAGTAGAGTTTTATGCCCCATGACTGAACTAGCTCTCAAAACCTCACATTCACTTTAGCAATGGTCTGCTAGGCAGACATCTTCACTTCTGCTTTTCCTTGATGCTTTAAACATGTTGTTTTTCAAATGATCATTGTCACCCTTTCTTTAGACCTACCTGTTTAATTCCTCTTTCTGTCCATGAAATTTCTATTCTGTTCTGTTGCTCACCACTTTATCATTCAGTCTTTAAGCCATGGCCTCCAAGCACATTATCACCTATAGTCAGAGTTTTTAAGTTCTGTTGCATTTTTACTGTGAAAATCTTCTTTTGGTTTTTGTGTCTTCTCCTTTAAACTTCTCTGCTTATTGCTGTGAAGACTGACATTTTTGATGTATAACTAATCACATATCAGGTATACACATACTCTTCAGAAACTTTCATTGATAATCCTGCTACTTAAAACTGATATTAAAGATCTTTCATAGGATTGCTTTAACTTTTCTATTGTTTCTTGTCTCTCTTTTATACAGCCTATACTTTAGTCAAACTGTTTATTTTATAGACACTTTTGTTCTTTTACTTACACATTAGTTTCTTTCATCTACTCCTATTCAAATTATATCCAACTGTAAAAATGTGGCTTAAATGTTAACAAGTAAAGGCTGTCTTTCCCCCAAGCCTCCCATGTTCTTCAGTGTGGAATAAATCTCTTTTCTGCTGACATTCTTTAATATTTTAGACTTAACCAAGTTTATTAGTTTTATATTTATTCTTTGTGCCATTGCCTTCTTTCCTCCTATGCTTAGTACTCTTTGAAGATAGAGATCATTTATTCAGCTCAGTGTTTTTACTGAGTAGGCATACACAGTTGAGTGAGTAATACAGTAAGTCAATGTTTGGCTTAAATTCAGAGGTGTTTTGTTCATGAATGGATGGTAATGGCATTTGTCAACTGCCACTAAAGTACACTGATTTCATTAACAGTTTAAAAACTGTCCAGTTGCTCTAGACCATCAGTGTCTTATTTTTTTATTTGCCGCCTTCTATTTTGTTTTTGTATTTCTTGAAATGCCGCAAATATCCAATGGTTAGGCTATTTGCTTTGAAGAGTTTTTTGGCTTCTTTTTTAAATTGTGGGAAACTATGACAGAATGTCTCATCTTAACCATTTTTTTTTTTTAAATATTTATTTGTGCATACAGAACTGGGGTACAGGTCAGAGACTCAGGGGTGGCGAGAGGCTTCACCAGAGACAGAGTGGGGAGCAGAACAGGCAGATTGACGAAGTACACTGCTGAGGGGAGCAGCGGGCGGGTCAGGAGAGGTCTGCCGCGCCATGTGGTCACCTCCGGGGCAGGCGGGGATCGAACTCGTGCTGAAGTGGTTTCAGCTTCTTAGTGCTGTGCTTTAACCCGCTGCGCCACCAGGGAGGGCCTTAACCATTTTTTTAATTGTATAGGTTGGTAGTGTTACATTTACGTTGTTGTGCAACCAATCTTTAGAACTTTTATTTTTGATATTTATTGTATGAGTTACTCTAGTTACTTTTATACTGTCATGACAAATTCTTAACTATATTGGCTCATAATCTACACAGGATTTAATGGCAAACTTTTGTAATTTAGGTAGGAAAGATTTGGTCTCCCTTTATTTTCCTGTTCTTGCATGTGTGGGTATGTTAGTGTGTATGTGCTTGATTGTGTTGTCATTATGCTGACAACTGTCTTTCACGGACACTGGCACCAGACTGAGTTGACTTGATCAGCGTATATGTGGTAGGTTCATGAGATCTATCAGGATGGAGACACAATTATTCCCTTTCTCTAGAGATGAGAGTGTGTGCTTTCAATGTGGCCCGTGAGATAATTGTGACAATTTTAGGTTATAGATGGACCAGGTTTTCCTTTTGCTGTGCTAAGTGTGTGTTATCTGCCATCACTGAATCTGTTGCTGAGTTATTTTCTTCTTTCTTCTGTTCTGGCTCTCATTTTTCTTTTTTTCCGTTTTTCCTCTCAGTAACCTGGTGTGTCTGCCCAGCTACCAGCAAGGTTGACTTCATTAGCCATTGCCTCCCAGTGAAGACAATGAATATTGTCTCTTTATTGAATATTCTCTAGTTTACATAATTAGGCTACTACTGAAGTTGAGTTGAAATAATTTTGAGTGATATTCGATGACTAATTGATACACATAATTAAAGATCTTTTGTGTTTCATTGTCATTGAGAATTAGGGGCATATTTGTACATATAACTGTTCCCATTGAAGTTAAAATTTCCTAATGTCTTAGTCTCCGAAATTCTGTATTAATCAGTTTATTTGGCCACATGACTCTTTCCTGCCAGAGACATTTTTTTCCCTTCTTGTCTTTTTATCATATACTGTGCTTTGTTTTTTACCTCTAGCCATTTGCTCTTATTTTCTTTTCCTGATACCCCCTTAAATATTCGTTCTTCTATATTTGACTTCTGTTTACACTTTGACCTTCTTTGAAATGGTCCCATCTCAGTTCAGAACTTCACTTCTTTTCTGATTCCCTCACTCCAAGTTTTAGTTTAAATTTCACTTCTGCTTTGACTCCCAAATCTATTGTATTTGTACTTCAGACTATATCCCTTAGTCATTTTTATTTATTTACTTTATATACTTAGTATTTGTTTCCTATACTAAAGTAACTTCCACAAAGGCAAAAAGACCCATGTCTGATTTTGTGCTAGCACAGAGCTTGACATACAGTATGTACAAAATAAGTAGAAGTAACTTTGTTGAATGCCTGAATAATATAAGACTGTTTTTGCTACTTTGCATGCCTCCTTAAATCTTTCACACCACTGCCAAAGTAATTTTTCTAAACTGCAGATCTGATTATTTTTCTTCCTTTGCCTTTGGAGACGTTTAAGTTCTTCAAAATGACACATAGGTTCTGTTCTGCCTAATATGCAAGTCTGATCTCTTATTGTACCCACTGCTCACTATTTATACTAGCAATATCAAATTACTGGTTTCTAATACAGCTAAGTCCTTTTTTTATGCCTTTGTATACATAATACACCCTGCATAGCTTTTCCGCTTTGTCCAAGTACTAACTCCCTACTTAATCAGTGCCTGTTAAATCTGTCTTGACTTTTGCTTTTACAGTTTTCTTGTCTTGACATTTTCTCCCTCCCTCAACAAGAAAGGGCTTCTTCAATCATGCTCTTTCCATTATACAGAGTTGCTTTATATTTTATTCTGTATTGCAAGCTTTTTTTTTTTTTTTTTTTTTGCCTCTTTTGAAAGAGAGACTTGGGAATATAATTGGGGAATGAAATGAAAATATATAGTTTTTCCCCCCTATTTTGAAATACTTGGTTTTGAATAATCTTTAGTATTATAAATTGATAAAAACAAAAAATAAGCTTGAAGACCACAAATATCCATGTGATTGTTGGTGGAAAAGAGATAAACATTAAGTGATAATCTATTACATCTCTATTGTATGCTTTGTATTTCAGATTTTGTTAGTGGAGCATTGAATAAACTTAAATCTAACAGAACACCCTCAATTACACCTCAGCAGGAAAGAATCGGTAAGTATTATGTTTATTTAAAGGAAAATGTCTTACACTATGCAAAAAATTAAGACAATATACCTGATTTTGGTTTCTGTTTTTGGTGGAGATATTGTACTATAATACAATGTTGTGACATTGCCAGTTACATTGGTTATAATGAACTTGAAACTGTAGGTAAGATGTTTTTTGTCTGTTATGTTTTTAATCTTATACATCATGCTTTCCTGTTCCTTCTAAGTTTGGTGTTAAACATGAAAATGGCTGACTCTCTTTTTTTTTTTATAAACAGAAACTTGTTAATGTGCATTCCAATTTTTTAAATCTTGATTTGCTTATGGCTGAAATTATCAAGCCGAATAACAGACAGTATGATCAATCATTTGTTTTATTTTCCAAATTGAAAAAATTTATTGGTTGATAGTTACGTAAAAAGCAAAAACAATATTTAGATCAGCTTTTGTTTTGACTTCTTGACTAATTTTCTTCCCTCTGTTAATGTTCTTTATTATATCTTTTAGTCTGTTTGGTTTAATATAATAGAATTTATTAAAAGTTTTGTTTCTTTGTAATTTCTTATATGTAATAATCCTGTTCTTTGTTCAGAGCTCTAACTCAAAACTTTATAGGAAGAAATTACATAAAGCTTTTATATTTTCAGTTCTGTGTGAGAGACAACCAAATGGGTTTTACGTTTTTTTCCCCAGCCCAGCTATCTGTATCACCAGTGATTCTTACACCAAATGCTAAGCGCAAACTGCCAGTAGATTCTTCTCATGGTTTCTCAAGTAAGAAAAGGAAATCCATCAAACACAATTTCAACTTTGAATTATTGCCAAGCAATCTCTTCAGTAGCAGTTCTTCTCCAGTTTCAGGTAGCAAACAGAATTTATGTAATTTGGTTATATATTAATGTGAATGGGCAAAGTGCTATTTTATGTAAATTATTATTAAAGTCAGAGCTTTATTCTGTGCTTTTATCAAATCTCTGAAATGTTACTGTTTCCTAACTTTGAAAAAAGATAGTGGTTTAGTATAATGTGTGTGTGTGCGCAAGTGTGCGCGTGAGTGGAGGCTGTGCCTATTTGAGCTTGGGATGAGTAACTCAGAATTTGGGTTTCTATTGGTAGCACTGGTGCTAAGATTTTATATGACTGGATATTCTGAATTGTAATTTCTTCTGATTTATAGCTGTTTTTATTGCTGTCTTTTTTTGAGTTGAAGTTACCAGAAGTTTAATTATCTCTAAATCCAGAATGGATTTAGTAGATCCAGGGATGATTTTTAAAGTTTTGTCCTCAAATAACTTTTATAAAAACCTTAAAAACTTGTTTACACGATCCTCATAGTATAGTCTCAAACCTTACCGGCCCTATTAGTTCCTAGCAAATGAACACGTTCCTAATGTAGCTGGCTGGAGCCTTCAGAGAATAATATAATCCTGTTGATTTGAGTGCCAGGTTTTTGTTAGTGTGATTTTTTTTTTTTTTAAGACTTATTTATTTGTGCATACAGAACTGGGGTGCAGGTGAGAGGATTCACCAGAGACAGAGTGGGGAGCAGAATAGGCAGATCAATGAAGTACACTGTTGAGGGGAGCAGCGGGCGTGTCAGGAGAGGTCTGCTGCACCATGTGGGTCACCTCCCAGGCTGATGATTGAACTCTCACTGAAGTGGCTACAGCTTGCACGCAGTGCTGCATCCTAACCCGTTGTGTCACCAGGGAGGGCCCAGATTTTTTTTTTCTTTTAATTAAAACATTGAACAGAATAGCAATTTGTTCTCTTGTGCATTCACAGGGTCATCACCTAGGATTATTTACAAGTTCTCTATGTTCATTAAAAGACTATGTCTTCAGCTTTCTATCCTGAGAATCTGAAGACTTAAACTCCTATAGATTAACAAGTTCAACAGTAATAATTTAACCACCATTTTTCTTTGAAGCTACTTTCTCGGCCATAATTCAATAATTTCCACTTACAAAATTGAAAATGGGTTGGTTTCTGTTTGGATTGTCATAGATGATGATGCTTTTAAAAAATGAAAACAGGTAATTTTACTCTCTAATTTGTAGAGTGCCTATTGGTATTTTCTTGTTTGTTTGATCACTTTGCATTCTGCATATTCTAGCAACTCCTTATTGTGATTACTGCACATTTTCAAGGTGACTAGATTGCAGCTATAAAATAAAGCTGCCTATGTCACATTAAATATATTATTTTGACTTCCAAATTTTTCTTCAGCCAAATGCATCTTTTTTTTCTTATATGAATTTTTTTATCAATATGAATAAGGAGTGTTCTTGAGTGTATGTATCATGGGCGTGATTCAAATATAACTCAAATATATATATATATATATATATATATATATAAACTTTGTAACTATTTTACTTTTTTCCTCATTTTTATTTTAGTCAGTGTCATGACAGTTTGTTAAATAATTTAATAAAATGAATCATAACCACCATTTGTAGGGAGCCATAGAGCATGGCAGAAGCCGAGTGTTTAGGTATGTGTTATAATTAGTTTTGCTGGTTTACCAAAAATATTGGGCAAATTATACTCTAGAGACAGGTGGACAGCAGTTGGCCAGCAGGTGCTTACTGGATTTTCAGACTCTAAAAAGTTTTTCAGCGTTTTATTTTTGTTAATAGCATTTTAATGCTATATACCAGGAACACCTGAACAGCTTGTATACACTATAGTAGTATTTATATTCATTGCAAAAGTTCATTTGCAGAACCTAAAATCTTTTTATTAAGTGGTGGGACAACCTCTCAAGTATGTCTGTCAAAAGCATGTTCTTTCCTTATTCTGCAACACTGTATTACTTGTATTGCTAAGAGTGTAAAGCAAGACTAAAAGTAGTGTTCAATCTGGTATTGATGCTTTTTTTTTTTTTTTAATTCTGTAGGAATACTTGCTCCAGAAGTTTTTAACCAGAAACATGATTTTGGTTTAGTTTAGGCTAGAAATTAAGACTTTTAGTCTAACTGCTATTAATACTTTAAACTTTGAAAAGAAAATATGTGTGGCATATTACCTGTGGTTATTTTTATAGTTCACTTTGATACAAGCTCAGAAGGGTCATCTCAGAGCTCACTCTCTCCTATAGTCATCGGCGGAAACCATTTTATCAGTACAGGTGTGCTAAGGCGAAGTAAAAGGATTGCAAGTAAAAAAGTTTGCAGGTAATTTCTGCAGGACAATTTTTGTTTTTGTTGGATAAATTTTTGGTTCACATATGCAGTTGATAAAATATTTTGTCTTTTTACTGAAAATATTTGAATTAAAAATTTTAAAGATATGCACCCCCTTTATAATCATACTAATTATAATTAGACTTTAACCTCCAGAGAAAGGTTGCTAGTTTGAGTTCACTTTGCTTAAAAGCCTACTTAGCATGGATAATGTGTAATTTTGAAATTTACTGTTAATTTATAAAACTAGTCTAGTGATTGTTGTCATTGACATTGGACAACAGGAATCAATTTTATATGCAAATACAATGTTTTCATATATCCTATCTTATAGTTTATTTGATTTTAGGAAATCATTATTTTGTCCAGTTGCTGGCAATATGATTTGACCTGAATGATCTCAAAATTTTTATTTTTCAACAGTTTCTCTAGTTTTATGCTAAAAATTGACATTTTTATTTTCTCTTTTTAGGGTAGAATCAGGAAAAACAGGCTGCTTCTCTCCTAAAGTCAGTCGTAAAGAAAAGGTTCGAAGATCTCTTCGTTTGAAATTTAGTCTAGGGAGAAGTAGCAAAGATGTAGTAAGTATCTTTCACCATTTCATTGGTGTTATATTGGCATAAAGCTATAGACTTGTTACGAAAAGACCTTTTCAGCCTCCCTCCCCCAGGATACCTACTGTTTTTATTTTGGCCCTATTCTCTTTATACCAGAATCTTGAGTTAATATCTATAGTTCCTCCTTTTATATTCTACTTAATTCAATTCAGTGTGACTTTGATATCCCAAGTCAGTGCAAACTGCTCTCATCAAGATCACCCATAAATTCATTGTTGCTTAAACTAGGAGACAAGTATCAATCCTTATTTGCCTTGACCTGCCAGCAGGTCTGCACCCTGTGGATCACCTCCCTCTCTGGGGATTGAACTTGCACTGCAGTGGTTACGAATAGCTTCATACTGCTGTGGTTAAAAAGAGGGCCCTCTTTTAACATCTTTCTAGCTTGACCTCTCCACTTGGATGTTGACCCAATGGATAGCTCAAGTGTATCCTGGCTCAAATAGAGCTCCCAAGATGCATTTCTTTGCTGTTGCTGCTTTTACACTTCTCACCTCTCACAACCACTCTTTTACCTGTGGTCTTCACCATCGCACTTTTTAGTCACATAAACTATGCAAGCATTCTTCACTCATCACTTTTTCACACATGCCCTGTCTAAGCCATTAGGAAGTCTTATCTCACTTCTGTGTTTGGAGTATGTACAGACTGACCAATTCTCATTGGTATTGTATTTCCAACCTTCTCTGAGCTCTGTCATCTCAAACTGGGTTACTGTAATGTCTCCCTGATAGTTCTGCTTCACTGCACTGCTGTAGCCAAATTGTCCTAACCAAGTTAAGTCATGGCAGTTCCATGCTCCGAACTCTCAGGTAACTTCTCATTTCGCTCTGTAAAAAGGCCGCAGTTTCTCAATTGACCTGCAATCCTCCATGTGGGCCTCATCTACCTATGCCTCCTTGCTGCTTGTTAAATATGCCTCTCCCTGAATGTTTTTTCCCCTTTGACGTTAGAGTTCTCACCCTCATTTTTCTTTACTCACAGGTCATCTTCTGATCACTCTTTAAATTACACCTCCACCCTTTACAATTCCCATTTTTCTTATCATAACGTTATTTTTCTCCATGATATTTCTCACCTTACTTATTGTATATTATGCAATGTAATTCACTGTTGATCTTGTTTTGATCTGAATCATCCCATCTAGAATATAAATTTCCTGAGGGTAAAGGGTGTTCAGTTTTGTTTTTCCTTTTCTTTTTAAGACTTATTTATTTATGCATACAGAACTGGGATATAGGCCAAATGTACAGAGGTGTGAGAGGATGCACCAGAGACAGTGGGGAACAGAACAGTTGGTTTGACTGAAATAAACTGCTGAGGGGAGCAGCAGGCAAGACAGGAAAGGTCTCCAATGCCATGTGGGTCACCTCCCTTGCTGAGGATTGAACTCGTGATGAAGCAGCTGCGGCTAGCTTCGTAGTGCTGTGCTTTAACCCATTGCGCCACCAGGGAGAGCCCTGTTTTTCCTTTTTACTACAATAAATAGGCCCTGGCACAGAAGCGCCACACACACACACATAAAGTGTTTAATGACTGTGTGACTCTATTTTATTTTGAACTTTTAAATACCCTAGGGAAGATGGTTACAGTTTTCATTAGCATGTGTGCAAGTATATTTTTGTTTGCTATAAAATTGGTTGTCAATTTTATATACCTTTTAAATCAGCTGTAGAGGATTTTTAAAATTTTTTACTTTGTCTTGGTTATTTAATTAACTAATTTTATTTCTTAACTAAAAATTTTTCCATTTTTCTTTTCTGTGCAGAATGAGTGTTCTGGTATTAATAGACATGAAAATGTTGGTAGACGACTTGCAAATCAAGAAATTTTAAAAAATAGAATTGAATCTGTAAAAACTGGTCTACTTTTTAGCCCAGATATTGATGAAAGATTAACAAAGAAAGGTATGTTTATATGGTATTGTTAGAACTTTAGCTAGAAAGCCTACTTTTGTTGGTTTTTTAATGTAAATAATTAACTATTCTGGAAATTTAAAATTCATGTTTCTGTAATGTTATTATTTGAAATAGCAATGTTTTTCTATAAACATTTAGAAGATGCTTATAAATGTAAATAAAAATGGTGGGACATGTTTATAATAAAAATTAATTCTTTAACAAGTCTTTTTATTGGGATTATTAACTGCTTAGTGGTAGGATAATATTTCAGAACTGGTTCTAATATAAATTATTAAATACTGAACTGCTTTATTTTAGATTCAAAAAAGATCAGTAAGTCTGAGGAAAACTTACTAACTCCAGAGCGACCTGATGGAACAAATTACCGGATGTCTTGGGCAGGACCTAATAATTCAAGTTTTCAAGAAATAGGTGTAAATGAAGCTTTTCCAATAGAGGCAGATTGTGAGGTAGAGAACTCTTTGGAGCCGGGTAGTATAATTGAAAAGTCACCTGTTAGCTCATATGATCTCACTTCTTCTAATAGGTACAATAAGCATAATAACAACTTAACTGGAAGCTCTCTTAGTGGGGATGAAAATCACTTGACCACAGAGACTTTGGAAAAAATTCAGCAAGCATTTTCTGAATCTGGAAGTAATCTTCATGCATTGATAAATCACAGGGTATCATCAATAACTAATGTAGGGAAAGTAAAATTAAATGAAACATGTTCTATAGAAGGTAGCCCAGAGAAAAATTTATTTGAAAATAATGATTTAACTGTTGTAGAATCAAGTGAATGCCACACTAGAACAGGTGACAATAGTTTTTCAGAAGGAGAGTTATCATTACATCAGACTCAAAAATTGGATGGAGAAACAACTATAAGATGTTACTCAACTGAGGTGAATATGAAAAATGAAAATAGCATTCATACAGATGTACCAGAAGATAATGTAAGCAAGCAAGAATCGCCTGGTGATGAACAAATAAAGAAACAGCAGTCCCCTGCAGATAAAGTAAATGCTGAATTAAAGGAGAATGAGAATATAATTGAAGAGAACTTTCTACAATGTGCAGCTTCTAGGGAGGATGAGGCTAAGACCAGTTCTTTAAAGCATACTCCATGTAATACAACAAGCTTGTCAAAACCTAGGCTTGTGAAAATTGTTAAACAGCAGTCACTGGTGGAAGTGGAGGGTAAAACGGTTTCAGAAAGGTTACAAGTGACAGAACATGGAAAGGTTTCAGACCACATACAATGGTTTAACAAGCTTTCTTTAAATGAACCAAATAGGACAAAAGTTAAGTCACCCCTTAAGTTTCAACGTACACCGGTCCGTCAGTCTGTCAGAAGAATTAATTCTCTGTTGGAATATAGCAGACAGCCAGTAAGGCGTAAATTGACAAGTCTCAGCGATGCTGCTTCTCCCCTGGTGAAAGCAGTCAGCTGTGACAGTGCTCTTCCCTCTTGTGTAGAAAGTACATCAAAAGATTCCTCTCTTTCATGCTCTACGTCAGGTCCTAAAGAACGGAAGACTACATCATACGAACAAACAGATGTTGATTCAGTTTCAAAATCAAGCATGGACTTAACTTCTAAATCTTTCTCAAAGATGAAGAGACACCCAGACGCCATGAATGCTACTCTTGGGTCAACACGAATTTGTAAACAAGAAGTGATAACTGATGGTCAAATTAAGTTTCCCTTGGATGATCTGACAAATCAGGACATATTGAAATCTGTTGTAAATAATAATAAGGGCTTTTCTGCTGGGATAAATCACAAGGTCCTTCGAAAACCATCAGAAAGAGAGAGGATCTGGTATAAAGGTTCTCCAAAACATCCTATTGGAAAAGTTCAACTATTACCAACAAGTAAACCTGTAGACTTGTAGCTGACAGATCTTTTGCTTGTTATTATAGTGTAAATAGAATAAGCAGTGACTTGCAGGATAATCTACATGTTAGTTTGTAGCTCAGGATGATTGTTATGTGATTTTTTTTTTAATAGCACAAGTGATATGGATTCTTATGCTTGTATAAATTACTGCTTTTTATTAATTGTGGCACTATTTGAACATTCAAATTCTATTTAAATTTTATCTCAAAAACTGAGGTTATACTTTTAAAGAAATTGTTGACTGGGCTTATAGAAATTTATTTTTGAAATTAAGAATTTATTTTTTAAGTGTGGTAGGAAGAGTGGAATGAGTTTTGCATTTTTGCCATTTTTCTCCTGAATCAGATTAGGACTCTGCCAAGAAATTTCCAGCATGTGAAGGGAAGAGATAAACCCAACAAATCTTATTTCTTGAGTTATATTAACAATTTTTACCAAAATCCCCAAAAATTAATTTGCACCAATGGCCTCTTAATTCTTTATTACTGTTCAGCATGGAGTAGTTAATTTTATATTGCCTGTAGAAGTGTGCAAGTACATTCGCTTGAATTAAGAAAAGTAACTGAAGCAGAGGAATGATTCAAATGTGTTCATGTAAATATGAAGCTGCAGAAGGAATTGATGGATTTTAAGCCATATTATGTTTTTTAAGTTAATTTGCACAAATATACATTTGCATCTGTTTTGTCCAAAGTAGAGTTTTAAATTATTTAAGGAGGAATAATTAAGCAAGAAATTTTAATAAGGTGATTTCTTATGCAGGTGCTTGATATTTTAATGTGTAGTAGTTAATGAATCTCTGTACATTTAACTTGGATTCTTAAACTTTATAGTTTCTCATAAAAGCCTATGATGATTTTGTCTTGTGTGTAATTTTTTTTATTTAGCATAGATATAAAAAGTACTTTGTGGAGGGCTCTTCCTGGTGGTGCAGTGGGTTAAAGTGCAGCACTGTGACACTCCCCACAGCTGCTTCAGTGAGAGTTCGATCCCTGGCCAGGGAGGTGACCCACATGGTGTGGCAGACCTCTCTTGATCTGCCTGCTGCTCTCCTCAGCATTGTAATTCGTAGATCTGCCTGTTCTGTTCTCCACTCTGTCTCCGGTAAATCCTCTTCACCCCCTGCACCTCTGGTCTTTACCCGAGTTCTGTATACATAAATAAATAAAATCTTAAAAAAATTACTTTATGAAAAGTGACTTGCCTAAGACTAATGAAATAAACCTTTTAGTTACGTTAATACCTTTTAGAATTTGACTCAAATTATCAAGCAAATATATCTAAATGTATATTTTAAATTATTATTTAAAATTATTAAAAATGCAAATCTTTCAGAAAAGAATATCATCAACACGCTATTCTTTACATGTTAGAGGACAAAATATGCAGGCAACGTCAGCTACTGAGATGGCTCTGCAGGCCAGTTATTAGAATGTCACATTCAGATTTGGAGCAGAAAAACATTACACTCTACTCAGCAGTTAGACATTGTGTGTGAGAGAGATTTCAAGTAATCTGACAAGTACTCTTGTTCTACCTCATAGTACATTTATTTTAAAGCTATTTCCGGTTTCTGTATTCATTATCTAGAAATCAACCCTCTTAGAACTAGTATTGACTTCTATAAGCACTAAAAATGTGTCTGAATAAAGTGCTTACCTGACATTAACAGGCTTATAAATATAAACGTGTCAGATATTTGTGGTATTTCTAGAGGTTGAAAGTACTCAGTACAGATAGAAAACATTCACAAACTCTAAAGTACATACTTGTCTGGTTCAAAGTAATTTTTTTTAATGGAAATTGGGGTGGGTGTGAGCTGTTGAATTAGGAAATTGTGATGGCATTGGAAATATAACTGCATGAGCCTGCCCTGTTACCACAGGGGTTTTTTTTAAGATTTATTTATGTGTACAAGAACTGGTGTACAGGTCAGAGGCACTGGGGTGGGAGGGGAGTGAGACTAGGGAAAAGAACAGGTGGATCTGAAATACACTGCTGAGGGGGAGTAACAGACAGGATGGGAGGTCTGTAATTATTTCAATATTTGTATGGAAGTGGAAATTTGATTAATAACAAATGAACTAAAGCTATGTATGCCTAGGATGTGCAGAAGATTATTTTCTATTACAAGTATAAAAACATTTAATATTAACTATCACAAATAATATACACAGAATTAATTGGCTTCTTGGCAACATTCCGTAATTACTAAGAATTTACTAAAATCTGGATAATCAAGTTCCAAGGTATGTAGGATGGACACTTTAAAATGGTCAAATTTCATATAAAATATATTTTGATGTGTTAATATCTCTCAGCACAAAAAGTAAATTGTTAAGATTTTGCCACTTTTCCAAGAACAAAATAAAGGTAGCAGCTGACAGTGTTAAAACAAAATTCAGAATTGGAAAAATACCTTGGCTTGTGTGATAAGTATTGATCCCCAGCATGATTTTTGAGTTTAGAACCGATTTTACCCTGTTGATTTAACACGAATTAAGCAAAAAAGATGGAAACAAGAATATCTACCATGGAAAAGCATAAGTTTGGCTTCAAACCAAAAGGCACATGCAGCCTTTTCTGTCTTAAAATGAATTTTGTGCCACCCCCTTCATTGCATAAAGTTGCTGTAGCTAATAACAGATTTGATGCTTACATCCTCTTTAGATTCTAACCTCAGACTGAGATACTGTACTCATCCTTAGTCTTACAATTTGCATTTAATGTAAGACTACATTTAAGTTTTTGTATTTGAACAAAATTCAAATGTTCAAGATTGCACATAGGTGCTCTATAAAAAAAAAAAAGTGGTGGCCCCTCCCTGGTGGTGCAGCAGGTTAAAGCCCAGCATTCTACCTGTAAATTTCTACAATGTACTAAGTGTGGTTTCTTTTCAGACTAAAGGAATTTTGCTTGCTAGTTGGTGTGAAAGTTTAAAAGCACTCAAATGATATTCCTAGAGGTTTTCACGTGTTCACCCTTAGATGCACCCTGTCATCATAATTTAAAGTTCTTAGGACCTCTTCATTTTTTGTCTTCTACCATTGCGCCATTGCCCCTTCCCACCTCATACTAGAAGACTAAGAGAACAAGAACACTATGGGGGGTGGGGGGGGAGTGGAGGGGGGTGGATGGTGGCAGCATTTAAAATGTGGATCTGGGGGCGAAGGACGGAAGTGACAATCTGACATATTGTTTGGGTAACAATATGTTATACAATATGCTTTAGAAAAGGGGAGATGTGTAAGTGGGATGCGCGGGTAGAACGCGATGTGGCTTTTGACCAGCGGCAAGCATCTGGCTGGCGTTCTGCGGGTTCCTGGCGACACGGCCTCCACCTGCCGGGCCGGGCCGGGGCGGGGCCGAGATGCGGAGGAAGGTGACGCACGAGCCCGCCCTCCCCGCGCCGCGCGACCCCGCGAGCCCCGCCGCTGCGTGAGCCTCGGCTGCCCTTGGTGAGTCTCGCACCGTGGCCCGCTCGGTCCCCCGATGCCCCCTCTCCCCACTCCGGTCGCGTGGGTTCTTGGCATGGGGTGTAGGGGGGAGGCTTACTGAAATCCTTGCACGTCTGGGAGCAAACAAAAGATGGGTAGGGGGTGAGCAGGTTCAGCTAGAAACAAGGGAGAGAGTAGCTAGGAAGGAGGTGGGGTCACTTACCAAATCCCACGGTGCTGGCGGGGGTGTGGATGAGACAGGAAGACGTCCTGCCTTCAAGGCAGCGGAGGGAAGATGGAGAGGCCAGTGTCGCCTCTGGCCTCTTCTCAGAACTGCAGGCATTGCTGTCTCCGTTCTTGGAAGCAGAAGGTTTTATTTATATCCAGGGTAGCTAGGGAAAAAAAAATCTTTTACAGAAAAATAAGACTATAAAAATTTCCGTTTCCGAGAATTAAATTCCACACCACACCCTGAATTTAATGCACCCCCACAATGGAGGCACAGTTAAAAGGGGGCTCCACACCGCTGCCTGATGCATCTCTCCTAAGCAGCTCCCGCAGCAGCAGAGGGAAGCTACATGAATATTTGTGTCCTCTTCCTGCAGACCTCTGATTATGGAAGCCAGCGTGTAGGACAGGTGACTCCCTAGCCCCGTTCTTGTTCCTCTCCTTTACCTATTGTCTCCCCTCATCACTGCCGAAATTCCAGCCTCCAGTTGAGAAATGGTGTTGCCTACCTACTAGCAACACAGGGACTCCGTACCTGGCGTTGTTTTGAGCCTTCTTAGGTATATTCCCACACTCATCCTCACAAAGGTTTACAAGATTATCTGCCTTCTGCAGAGGAAGAAACTGAGACATTTACTTGGGATTATCCAGAGCGTGTTTGGTGGAGTGAGGTACCTCATCTCCCCTAACAGACTGCCAGGCCTGCCTGAGCTGGGTGTGTTTTCATCTGCTCAGGATCTGAACCGTCAGGTGTTTAAAAGCCAAAATTTTCCCTTGCCCCTTTCCTAACCTTTCCCTGCTTCTTTGCCATTTATGTCTTCCTATCTCCTTCCTGTGAGTTATTTTGTCCTCCAAGGTGTCACTCTCCCTCTGTCTATCTCACAATTGAAGCGAGTTTTTACTGTTTTATAAGGGAAGGAGAAAGAACAATGGGAGTAGGGGTAATGCAGAACTTTCAGGGAGGTACAAGGATAAGAAAATGAATGAGAACTGCCACTGCTGTCTAGTCTTTCCAAGAACACAAATCCAGAGGGAATTGGCTGTCCCAGACTGTTTTGTTTCTTTTACACCTTCCATGGCCAGACCAGCCATCTTGGGGATTTTTTTCATTGTCCTTTTCTGGGTGGTCTCCCTGGTAGGATTGCATGATGCATCATCACAGTTGCCGATTGTCACCAATCACTGTTTTTTTTTCCTGCAGGTTAAAATGGTCTCCAGGATGGTCTCTGCCCTGCTGTCTGGCCTACTGTTTTGGCTGACATTTGGATGCACCCCAACATCTGCTTATAGCCCAAGGACCCCTGACCGGGTCTCAGAAACAGATATCCAAAGGCTGCTTCATGGCGTGATGGAGCAGTTGGGCATCGCCAGGCCCCGTGTTGAGTACCCAGCGCACCAGGCCCTGAATGTTGTGGGCCCACAGAGCAT